ATTCTCTAAATTTTTTTGATGATTATGAATTCCTATAATTTGTGTTTTATCAACATTGAAAACAGGTCACGCCCATTAAAGAATCTCGCTACTTTATTCATGATACCATCACATTTTTCTTCCAAGATTTTCGAATCTGAATCGGAAATGATTAATGAGAAATCATCTGCATATGCAGTATAATGCTCTGTGTCAATAATATGATCCATATGATTCACATACAAAATAAAAAGTACAGGCCCCAATATTGAGCCCTGAGGCACGCCTCTAGTCATGAAGTAAGAAAGTGTATTCTCTTTTTTCAAATTACTTCGAATAACGTCAGGAAAAAACGATTTCCCTTGATAGACATATTCTTCTAGGATTCCAAAACTGTGACCAAAAGTAATTTATATCGTTCTTTGGGCTTCTAAACTACAACACAATCACGTAGTTTTTCACTATCTTGACACCTTCATTGACTATCACTTCCGTGATGCGTATTTTGACGTTTCACATGAATTTTCATTAAACGACAGTGTGAGACGGAGTTAGGAATCAATCGAAGTTCGATATCAGGTGTACAATTATGTTTCTGGGAGGCGCAAAGCAGTTGTGTGTCACTCATGCAGAAAATGCTTTAGTAACCCGTGCTTCGCTCGTGCAGCTGGTAGCTGAGCACATTTTCTGCCCACAGAATACTATTGAGTAGCAATTAAGAAGTTTACTATAGATTTGTTTTCGGGTTCCCATGCCTAAACTGAATTATATAATGAATGTAACTTAATAGCGAGAAAACGCTTACAAAAAATTCACCTGCTGACTTTTTTATCGATGTGCTCGTTAACGTTTTTTAGTGACTCTTCTCATCATATTTTTCGTGACTTTTCATGTATATTATCAACTATTGAAACAGTTGGAGTCTTCTTCACTAAAGTGAGCACACTGCCAGCCAAATAGGAACGTCGTGATATCTAAGTGAAAGAATGTTGTTTTTTAAAATATCAAAGTGTTATTTCATTTTGCCCCAAAAGTCTCATTCTTTCTTCTTCAGTATGTCACTATCGTTGAAAATATTCTCTAAAGTTGCAAGTTATCAACGTACACAGAAAAATGTTGATACTTGCTTGCTGAAGCATTCAGTTCGGTTGGATTGGTACAGTTTTCTCAATCAAATCGAATGTAGGAAATTTTCCAAACAACCAGCGACCCAAAATAGTAGATAATGTACCTATTATTATGCATGATTAAGTTATCATAAACTATATTTCCAATACATTACACTGATGATAACACATTGACACAATCTACTATCGAACGAATGGAAAATACTAACACAAATTATTGGAAAATCCGCCAGAGCGATGCAGAGTGGGGAGAAGTTTTTCCAGTGTCCTCAAATGGTGTTACTCAATTTGTTACCTGAATTGACAGTTATGCTCATTCAAATTCAACAGAAAACACTGAATATTGAATTGTCAGAAGAAACTTTACTTTCGGAAAACTCAATGATTACTTTTCTATTGGATTCTAAAATTCAACCAATATGGTTGATATCCATTTTACACTATGTGGTGTCAATTTCTGTTAGGCAGAATCAATTAGAGTATACTGTCACCTGACGTCACATGGTGTGCCCAAGCACAGCAATCGTTTTCGTCAGCTGATCGGGGGACAAACTAAGCATTGTCTGTATATTGATTCCATTCTTACTCAGCCTTTGATAATCTTGATATAACCAGATGTATGTAGTATTTAACTACCTAGGTATATCATTAGAACTTAACTTCAGTATAGATTCCTGTAATTTCAAATGGACGAATAAACCATTCCAGCTCACTTTGAGGCTAATCAAACATGAGGTCGAATATTTTTTGAACTTGTCTAATAACTCAATGCCCATAGAGAAGGGGCATATTCCTTGAACAATCTCAAGTCGAAATTGCCTCATACCAATACTTTTATCCAACACTCTATAGTCGAGGAGTAACGAGCAATATTAAATTGAATAGAGTGCGTGTAGAATGAAGTGAGGAGAAAGTTGAATGAAGTAATGTGATATTTCATCAAATATGTTTTTTATCACTTGCAAAAATTAGATTATAAAAGCTATCTGAAACATCGCCATGTTCACGTATGTGAAATATTTCTGTGTTGTTATGCGTATTGAGGAACATATTTGAGATATTTCATTGGAAATGTTTACTATTTGTTATGAATTCATCATATTCGAAACATTTCAATTATAACGAAATAGCCACAATGCTCAAAGTGGAGTGAAATATTGAATGAATATACAAAAAGGTTGAAGTCATTTCCACACAATGTTCATAAAATAAATAACAATGGTAGATTTCGGGAGAAAAACAACAACTTTCCTGGCTAACGCCACGCAGAACATTGAATATCTATCCATTTCGTATGTAGCCAGGCCACGGTAGACACCTACAGACTGGTTTCGAGCTCTTTGACTCTCATCAGTGCAGGGCAGTCTCCAGCCAGCAGTCCTACGACCGCCGACTGAGCGTAGCCTAGACAAACAAAAATCAAGTCGGCATTATATTCCCTCAGAGAAGAATGCATATGTGGAATATATCCCAAGTAGTGACGTAGTGAGATGTCTTCGAAACATTTCTTCAATAACTCTTCACTAAATGGGCGAATGACATGACTTTGAGACGTTCCTGAATGGCCTCGGGCATAACAATCAAATGTAGCAGAGGCTAGATGCAATTTATCAACTCAATGTAACATTACACACACTAGGTCATTTATGGTTCCGAGAATGTGTCATAAATGTATCAGAGTATATATTTAGTTGAAATGTTTCATATTTCTCAGAGTTAGTTTCAAACACGTTTCCAAAACACAAAATGGTATACTGGGACTATTCGTAGACAAGCTCTTGAGATTAAACGGATTCGCGGTTATATTTATGTGCCATCCCTAATATTGTCATATTTCACTATTATTGATTAAAAATAATTATCTATCATGACTATAATCATTTATCGTTTTGGAAAATTTGTAATAATGTATCCATAATCTACCCCAGCTGGAAATGAGACTGCTTGTCTCTTGTCCCCCATCAACTGTGCAATGACAGAAAGTCTTATTTCTAATGACGTCACTGAAGTACTCTACTGGGGTTGTTCCCGTGATCGTCTCTTTGCTTTCATAAATGATCTAAAATTACATCAAGTAGACATCATTCTTTGGTTGATATAGCTCAAAGTCGGCATTATATTCCCTCAGAGAAGGATGCATATATGGAATATTTCAAGTAGTGACGTAGTGAGATGTCTTCGAAACATTTCTTCAATAACTCTTCACTTAATGGGCGAATGACATGACTTTGAGACTTTCCTGAATGGCCTCGGGCATAACAATCAAATGTAGCAGAGGCTAGATGCAATTTATCAACTCAATGTAACATTACACACACTAGGTCATTTATGGTTCCGAGAATGTGTCATAAATGTATCAGAGTATATATTTAGTTGAAATGTTTCATATTTCTCAGAGTTAGTTTCAAACACGTTTCCAAAACACAAAATGGTATACTGGGACTATTCGTAGACAAGCTCTTGAGATTAAACGGATTCGCGGTTATATTTATGTGCCATCCCTAATATTGTCATATTTCACTATTATTGATTAAAAATAATTATCTATCATGACTATAATCATTTATCGTTTTGGAAAATTTGTAATAATGTATCCATAATCTACCCCAGCTGGAAATGAGACTGCTTGTCTCTTGTCCCCCATCAACTGTGCAATGACAGAAAGTCTTATTTCTAATGACGTCACTGAAGTACTCTACTGGGGTTGTTCCCGTGATCGTCTCATTGCTTTCATAAATGATCTAAAATTACATCAAGTAGACATCATTCTTTGGTTGATATAGCTCAAAGTCGGCATTATATTCCCTCAGAGAAGGATGCATATATGGAATATTTCAAGTAGTGACGTAGTGAGATGTCTTCGAAACATTTCTTCAATAACTCTTCACTTAATGGGCGAATGACATGACTTTGAGACTTTCCTGAATGGCCTCGGGCATAACAATCAAATGTAGCAGAGGCTAGATGCAATTTATCAACTCAATGTAACATTACACACACTAGGTCATTTATGGTTCCGAGAATGTGTCATAAATGTATCAGAGTATATATTTAGTTGAAATGTTCCATATTTCTCAGAGTTAGTTTCAAACACGTTTCCAAAACACAAAATGGTATACTGGGACTATTCGTAGACAAGCTCTTGAGATTAAACGGATTCGCGGTTATATTTATGTGCCATATCTAATATTGTCATATTTCACTATTATTGATTAAAAATAATTATCTATCATGACTATAATCATTTACCGTTTTGGAAAATTTGTAATAATGTATCCATAATCTACCCCAGCTGGAAATGAGACTGCTTGTCTCTTGTCCCCCATCAACTGTGCAATGACAGAAAGTCTTATTTCTAATGACGTCACTGAAGTACTCTACTGGTTGTTCCCGTGATCGTCTCTATGCTTTCATAAATGATCTAAAATTACATCAAGTAGACATCATTCTTTGGTTGAAGTCCATATTGCTCAAAGTAGAGTGAAATTTTTCATGGAAGCATTCGAGCATTCCTTCCTTCCTTCCTTCCTTCCTTCCTTCTTTCCTTTGAAGAAGTCATCATGCTACCTGGTACTTAGAGATATGATAAAAACCATATGTTACTAATAAGCAATGAAACGCATAGTCATTCTGATGAGTGCTCTTACTATAGAAAATTGATACCACCACGACAGATCGTATTGCTCAATTCCGATATTATGAGAAAGTGTCAATAGTAATTTATGGTGATTCTTGTTTTTTTTCGCCAGAGTAGGAGTCCGTTAGTTCAACAATTACCACATATAGGTATCATCCTCCTTTTATTATGCCTACCGAGTGAAAATTGTTTGTTTGCTCACATTCCTGAAACAAAAATGATAATTAATATGTTTGCTTTTGTTTGTTTATTTGCAGTTGCAGACAGCAAGGACGCTATGTGAGAGGCACCAAATCAAGATGACCCCGGATTTCGCCGAAACAGTTGAACTTTGTTTCGAGAAAGGTCCTCCCAGGATTCAGAGGACATCGAAAGTGATGAGAAAGATTGTTAACGTATTTCTATGTATAACGCAACTAGGATTCTGCTGCGTATATTTTGTTTTTATCTCGGAAAATATAAAGCAGGTGAGCACCTGATTATAGGGTTAACAACAAAAAAAATCAATCAATCGTAGAAATCATCAATACTCTAATTGGTCCAATGTACTTCAAAAGAAAAACACAAATTTCAAAGTCAGTCGTCCACACTTTATATAAAAGTTAGATTAAAAACAGTGACATGGTTTCGGCATAACGGCCATCATCAGACAATGCAATACTGAAAATACATCATGAATGTGGAAATTGAAATTGTCACTATAAAACAAAAACTTACAATGGTCACATTAAGATCATAAAAGAAGAGATTTTACAAAATCAAAAAACCAAAGAACATCATATGGCCGAGAAGTCAGGTAAATTAAATGTTTCATTTAAAACGGCTAAAGAGCCTAATCAAGTTGAACATCGAAAAAACCAAGTTTTTTGTCTGAATTCAGAAAGTCACATTTTGACTGGAGGAAATTGATTCAAGGAATGGAAAAACAGACAGTTTGACATGAAAGGCTGACATACTGACATATAAGGCGAATGACAGGTCATTATCTTTTGTTTCATGATGGTCGTGCCTCATATGTGTCAGTATGTCAGCCTGAAATGTCAATTCTTTGTTCTTTCATTCTTTGAAACATTTTCCTCCAATCAACATGTGACTTTTTGAATTTAGACAAAAAACTTAGTTTTTTCGATGTTCAACTTGATTAGGGCGAGATTTTTCAGGCTCTTCAGCCATTTTAAACGAAACATTTATTTACCTGACTTCTCGGCCTGATGATGTTTTTTGGTTTTCTGATTTCGTAAAATCTCCTTTTTGATGATTTTGATGTGACTATTGTAGGTTTTTGTTATATAGTGACAATTTCAATTTCCTCATTCATGGTGTATTTTAGGTACTGCACAGTCTGATGATGGCCGTTGTGCCGAAACCGTTCACTGTTTCTCAATCTTACTTTTATATGAAGTGTGATCGACTGACTCTGAAATTTGTGTTTTTCTATTGAAAAAATCAATTGTTAATAGAATTAGAGACCTCATAAGTCTCACTGAACACTATCTTTGAGTAGTTTGAGTTGAAGTAATAAGTAATTATGTTGTGGTTGAGATTTCATGAACTTCTCTAACAACTCTTGAAGTTTTTATTCACCTGGAATTCAGATTTTGCTATGATATCACTGAGTATTCTTATTCTGAGATCGATGTTAGGCAATAATAATAAATGTATGGGTTTTCACAAAAGTGTTCTGGAAAATTCCCAATATTCAATGAGCAGTGTGGACTGATGTAAAGAACCTAAAAAGTTCCATTTGATCACAAAACCAACTGTGACCACAAATAACATCGAACAGAATCGCAGAAGATTTTTTTTTATCGCTTGGAGCGCACGAAAGGGAATCCCTATAATGTTCAAAGAACATCGTGCGTTCCTAGGGAGGATAGGGACAGGAGGTAGGTATTGAAATCTTTTCTGAACTTTTGGAGATTATATGTTGTTGGGAATACTTCCACAGGCAATGAATTCCAGAGCCTAGCCGTTCTATGGATGAAGGAGTCTTGATGAAGTGCTGTTCGACATCTTTTGAGGTTGACAACGAAAGGATGTGCTGAAAATGTGGCGAATGGCTCTTCTCTGGATGGAATCTAAGAGCATCAGCGTATGTTTTGGTGCTGAACCCCATATGTGGGAACAGTATTCTAGACCAGGCCGTATCTGCGCTTTGTAGATCATGAGAAGCTGATGAGGTCTAAGTAGCTTTTCGCACGGAACAAGAATCCGAGTTTTTGTGAAGCAGCTTTTGCGATGGATCTGACATGATTATCCCATGAAAGAGTGTTGCTGATGGAAATACCGAGCATAGATATAGTGGGCTCGGTGGGGATGGTGGAGCCAGACATTACAATATCCAATTCTAAAGAAAATGCAGGCTTGAGTTTTGGTGGCGGTGAATTCAACTAGGTTGTTTGTTCCCCAGGCTGTGATTTCAGCAAGATCTTCATTGACAGCATTGACCTGCCTGCGCCGTGAGTTCTTAGTTTCCTGAGAAGAAATGGGAATTCTGGAAGAGAATGCAGTATGGAGGGTACTATCATCTGCAATGCTGTGGATGGGACAAGTTGTTACTCCCAACAGATCATTGATATGAAGCAGGAATAACGTTGGTGCCAAAATTGATCCTTGTGGAACGCCGGAATTGATGCCAATGGTAGCAGACGATACACCGTCCACCACCACGTGAAGCGATCTGTCTGAAAGAAAACTCGATAAGAGATGGCATAGCTGAGGTGGTGAGCCGTATGATGGTAGTTTGTGGAGGAGTCCTTCGTGCCAAACACGGTCGATTGCTTTCGATATGTCCAACGCGACAGCTAGAGATTCCCCGTGTTTTTCTATTGCAGATTGCCATAAATGGGTGACGTAGGCAAGTAGATCTCCAGTAGATCTGCGAAAGCCGTATTGTCTATCATTGATGATTCCTGAGCTCTCCAGATATTTGATAAGCTCAATATTGATGGCTTTCTCCATCACTTTGGAGATTACTGATAACAGGGCAATGGGCCTGTAGCTGTTGGGCGGGTTCTTGTTCCCTTTTTTGGGGATTCGTTGGACTCTAGCTGTCTTCCAGCATGATGGAAAAATACCCGACCTGTACGAGATGGTAAAAAACTTGCAGAGAATCGGTGTTGATTCTGGTGCACATTTTTGAGGATAATGGGTGTAATTCCATCAGGACCGTTAGCCTTATTCGTTTTGAGACCAAGCAAAATTTGTCTGATAGTGCGTTGACAGAAGACGATTTCGGGCATTCGACTCTCAACGGGTGGAATGTCTGGTGGCAGTATTTCTTGGGAATCTGAGGTAGAGTTTGCTGCGAACATCTCTGCAAAAATATTCGCTTTCTCCTGCGATGTTGTTGCTAATGTGCCGTCGGATTTGGACTGTGGTGGAAATGAACTATTAGTGAAATTTCTTCCGACCGCTTTAGCAAGGGACCAAAACGAACGGGGGCCATTGGGACAATCTATGAGTTTCGATCTTATCTTGGCATTGTATGTTTCTTTCGAAGCATCTATTGTTTGGCTGCAGTTATTCCTGGCATCAACGTATTCTGCTCTAGTCGCGAGGTTAGGGTTTTTGCGCCAGCGATGGTCGGCTGTTTGTTTCAAGGCAACAGTTCTAGAACAGTTTTTGTGTAACCAGGGTTTCGAAGGTGATGATCTTTTCTAAAAATGAGGTATGTATGTGTCCATTCCGAGCATGATGATCTCGGATATTTCCGCAGCTCACTGTGAAGGGTCCTCAGAGTCAAAGCATATACTCTATGCCCAGGAAACTCGGAGAAAAACATGCGGAGACCGTCCCAATCTCCTGAATTGTAATGCCATATGAGACGTGGGGGTGCCGGAGCAGTAGATGGAATGAAAAATGAGCAGGTTGTGGAGATGAGTGTGTGGTCAGAATTGCCAAGTGGAGCTCGTACATCTATGGTGTAGGGTGCTGAATTATTAGTGAGGAATAAGTCAAGTATGTTAGCTAAATGGTTATTGGCACGAATATTTTTGCCTTTTTGTTTCAGCCACATGAAAATGCTTAGTTTTTTCTCTGGAAAGTTTCAGATAACAGTATCTGCATTTCATTTGCTCAAAAATCATGCAAATGTTGATATGGGAAGCGGTTTTCTCATCGTTTTATATGTGTTTCGTCTGAAGAGATGATGCTAATATGATCATCATTCTACTATTTCGTGATCCTTCGACTCGATTTCAATATGATTGCTATACCAGTAATTACTATTTAAGGCCCTTTTATTGCTCATCTGATGCCTTTTCATGAATACCAACTCACTTTAGAGAGATCTCAATACCTGCCTACATGAAATTATGTTCGAGTCAGTTCCTCAGATGTGAAATCTATTTGATCATTCCATGACAATGATGAATAGTCTCTGTGATATTAATATTATATCCATGTTTGCTTCACAGGTCTTAGATTACTACGGTTATAACATTGGAGTGCACATCCTGATGATTATCATATTCATCCCGATTTTATTGCCTTGTCTTGTCAGGAATCTCAAGTACCTAGCGCCGTTCTCTACCTTAGCAAATGTTTTGATGATCAGCGGAATTGTGATCGTTTTGTATTATTCATCCCAAGATCTACCATCGCTCGACCAAAGAAGGTACATTGCTGACATCGATCGAATTCCACTGTTTTTTGGAACAGCAGTATTCGCCTTTGAAGGAATAGGCCTGGTGAGTACAGTTCAATTCAACTTTGGTTAGTATGATTTGATGTTCGTTACCTCTGGGAAAAAGTTGAGGTTGAAAATGGTGAGAAGAAGGTGGGTACTTTTCAGGTTCAACTTGATCATCGAGATCATTCAAAGAATCAGAATACCTTCTTCTCATCTTTCAATGCCACCAATAACTTCTCATCAATAATGAATTTGTTTTATTTTGACATAACATCACATAACTGATGATAATGATTTGTGTTCTTCGGAAGCAGGGCCATATAATTCCTGTGATATATTCAACGGCACCATTCACCAGACCTTTGGAAACATCTACATTGTAATGCAACATCACCTTTTCCCCAATGAATATTTCCAGCTCCTTAGAGGTAGTCCTTCTCTCTTGTTTATATCGGATAGTATAATACTATTGAGATCTAAATTGTCAGTTTTTCGAGTATAATCTACTAGACTATCTTGTGCTATGATTTTGTTAATAGGTATACCACGAGCTCGTAAATGTTCGAAGACATTTTTGTTGTGATTGTATACTTGTTGGTTAGTCAACAAGCCCTTTCATTTGATACCCATATTGTAGAAGTGCATTAAAAATAACAATTACGTCGTCCTGGATGGTCCGCCATATAGGAATTAAAATGACGTCACATTATTTTTCGAGTTACTCTCAACAAGTCCTTTCATTGATTACCCATATTGTGGAAGTGCATTGAAAATAGCTATTTCGCCATCTTGGATGGTCCGCCATATTGGGTTCAGAATGACGTCACATCATTTTTCGAGTTACTCTCAACGAGCCTCCTCATTTGGTACCCATATTGTAGAAGTTAAATAAAAGCTTCTAGAATTAAAAATAAAATGGAAATAAATACGAATTAGCGGGAGTTATGATTCATGATGCCCTCAATAATAGCAAAAGTTGCCAAGGTATTATAAAGCAGTAATGGACAAATGAAAAATGAAAATGAAGATAATTAGCAGCACCTAGAAAAATATAGAGATATGTTGTATAATAATTTAAGGTTCTGCCGCTCCAAAATGAAATGAAAGAACCAGATAATTTCGTCAAACCCTTGGGAGTACTCAACGTAGGAATGACCATCGTTACATGCCTTTACGTATCTGTAGGATTCCTGTCATATTTGAGGTTTGGAGAAGAAATAAAAGGAAGTGTCACCCTCAACTTACCAAAAGAAGAAGTGTAAGTAACTGGTTCAAGTTTTACCTACCATTGGTTGAATTGGTTCAATTGTTTTTTATAATGGTCAATTCGAGAATGATTTTAAATTGCAGCAAATTATGTGTTCGCTGAAATTTGAATGGATCAAGATTGTAGATTTCCAGACTGTCAAATGCAGAATGTGATGTAGTTTTGTCAACCTCTAAATCGCAATTTTCAGATTTCATAGTATCAAAACCGTCGCTCATCGAATAACCAACTTTTCTTTGATGTATCTTTGATATCTAAATAAAACCGACAAAATTCAAGGGGTGATTCCTTATGATATTTGAGGAAATAAACTTCATTTGAACATGTGTCCTAACTTGCTTCGTTTTCGAGATACAGGGTATCAAAATTTCAATGAAAAATATTTTTCTATTCATGTCTCAATTGTCTTTTTATCAATTTCAATGAAACGTTGTGGTTGTGTTAATAGTAATATGCAGCTTCTTCTAGCGCAGTTGGTAAATTTATCGATATTTATGGTGATTGTCATTGTACAGGGTGGCCAACTAAGAATCCAAATTTTGATACCTCTGTTGTCTTGAGAGATACAAAAAAAAAATTTATCAAATTGAAGTGATAACCAAGCTTCACATTTAAAAATTTCTTTGAAATACACAGGGTGTTCCGTAAGGTCATATTTTATTTCATTTCTGAATTCTCCCTGAAGATCTGATTTCAACGACGTATCTTACTTAGGGTCTAGCAGTGAAAGTCACTGACATATAGGGTGTGCAAAATCGTGATTTTCTAAGTTCAGGATTTTTTTCTGTCGAAACTGTTCATTATTCGTCAAAACGGTTTACATGTCCCTATCTCAACTTTTTACTCGCTATCAATTGGTGTTCAATTGACATTTAATTGAAACAAATTATAAATTAAGATTTTTTGACCACCTTGTATCAATTTCAATTGAACACCAATTGATAGTGAGTGAAAAGTTGAAATAGGGACATGTAAACCGTTTTGACGAATAATGAACAGTTTCGACAGAAAAAAATTCTGAACTTGAAAAATCTCGATTTTGCACACCCTATATGTCAGTAACTTTCACTGCTAGACCCTAAGTATGATGTGTCGTTGAAATCAGATCTTCAGGGAGAATTCAAAAATGAAATAAAATATAGGGTGTTCCAATGAAAAAAACATAGCTTTGATGTACTGTGACCTTACGGAACACCCTGTGTATTTCAAAGAAATTTTGAAATGTGAAGCTCGATTATTACTTCAATTTTGATACATAACTTTTTTTTGTATCTCTCAAGACAACAGAGAAATCGAACTCTGGAGTCTTAGTTGGCCACCCTGTACACCACCGGTTTTCTCGAGTTTCATATTTTTATTAGATTGAACTTTAGAAATAACATATTTTTTATTCTCTGTGTGATTATTGTATCTAGCTTAGTTTCTGAGGAGACAATAAAAATTTGATTTGACTCCAAATTTCAATGTAGGTGTTTTCAAGACTTCCATTGAGATAACTCAATAACCCCAATTAGAATCATTTTGAAATTTTAGAGGTCTCTCACTCTCAGTCTCCATCCTTTCTGAATTTTGGCACCATGGAAGCTTATACAGGGGGTTTATAAATGAAAACAAATAATACTTCCAACTTCAACATCCTGTATCTAAAAAACGGAGCAAGGTAGGACACAATCATGTTTGTTTATATGAACTTCATTTGCTAGAATGTCACAAGGAAACACTTGTTGAATTTTTTAGTGTTATTTATGTACACCCTATATATTTATATTTCATGTCATTATCATTTTTTAACAGGTTATATCAATCGGTGAAGATCGTCATATCCTTAGGAATCCTACTAACTTACGCTCTTCAACTTTACATAGTAGTAGGCATCATGTGGCCTAGTGTTCAGAAGATTGTTGGAGGCAAAAAGTATCCAGTATTATCAGAACTCGCATTCAGAACGTCATTAGTGATATTGACATGTAAGTAAATAACTCCGAGGCACAATCTCGAATACCTTACTTCAATAGATTTCATTGAATTCTTCAACTTGTCAGTGCAGAGAAATCTCCAGCACATGAGTCTACTCTGAGGAAAATGTCGGAGAATAATGATTAGTTAGTCAACGACAAAAAAAGAGCAAAGGAAAATTTTCAATAGTATGGGGTCATATTAGCAGGCGCGAAAACAGTTTTTGATGAATACGTTAAATTACATAATTTTTTATGGTATCTTCAATTTCTCCATTCGCGACGTTTCCACAGATTATAAACCTACATTTTTGACAACGCAAGTTTGAGGAAACATGACATTACCACAATCAAAAATGTGTTTTCAATTCTGGTTGTCATACTTTCAAATGTTGAATTTTGGTTTTGTCGCTGAAAAAGTTAGGACATACTTTTTTCGGTTAATATGACAGAATTGCCACTGCGGAACTCTATATATAAATTGAATTGTCACTTATAATTACACGGGAGCTTTTTTTGGCGATGTGAACTTGATATGTATCAATAAGAATTTTGTTGTCTGGCAATTTGACCAAAAAACTGCCTCTGAAATAACTACGAGTCCGTAGGACGAGTAATTTTTTCTGACAGATTTTTGAGTTGAATCACCTAATGGCCACAATTCGAATTATAAATGCCAAATTCACTTCGCCTAAAGAAAAAGCTTAGAGTATATTTTGGTGAGACAATTTAATCCATTAAACATTTGTTTATGGCTGGCTGTCATGCTCTCAAAAGTTAGGTTCCGTTATGGTCGCTAGAAAAGTTAGGGCAAAATTGTTTTGGTATCATAATGACACAATCACGCGGCTTGTGGGATTTTTCAGGCATGAATTGAATTGTCAAAATGAAAAACGAACTTGCACACTGCAGTTTGCCATTTTTCAGTTTTCAGAAAAAAATAGATTGAATACCTACAGCTAGCGTACCTACAGCAAAGGTTTTTGTTCGATTGAAAAACTGAATTTTCTTCGATCTTCTGGCAGGGGGACTAAATTACCCCCATTGCTCCCCTCTTTTTGTAAACGCACCTGCATCTTAGGAGAAGTATGTAATTGGATTGGCTCAAATATTCCTTCCCTAAGTTAAAAAAATGAGACAAAAATAAATTCCCAGTTCGTTTTTTCTAGCCAAATTATTCATTCCATGTAGTTTAACAACGAACCGGTTTTGGTCTCAGTTGAACTCGCTAGTCTTGTTTTATTCTCAATGATGACAATACAAAAAATAATCTTGTTCATTCTACCATATTCATCGTTTGGAATTATACCTACAGCGCTGAAGACCATGACAACAAAACCAATTAGTTATCTGCGACTATGCTACTGGAAAAACTGCACGGTGCTATTTATTTTCAATAGTTACGGATGATGAATAACGCACCCAAACTGTATTTTTTGCCATCCCTTGATTTTTAATAGTATATTATGTAACAAGTGTTATAAACGTTCTTTTAGTAACGAGTAGTTTAAGCACGAGCGGAGCAGAGCGGAGCGAGTGTTTAATAAACGAGTATCTAGAAGAGTTTATAAACGCGTTACATACTATGATTTTTCTACGAACTCAGAAAATTACAGTAACATACCTGCAATTCCTGCTGACCTACAAAATAATCTGAAAGGAATGGGAATTGAGAACATAATACATGATGCAACTGCATGCAACCAGCGAGACACGTATAAGAAGTGATATTGGTTGTAGATTTGTTCAGTCCATTGCTTAATAACCTTTGTTTCACGTTTATTGTCATGCTTAGTGCAGAATGAATAAATTGTTCTCAAAGATGGATGCTTCAATTTCACACTTCTTGGAGATATGCAAGTACCAGAACATTCTCTTCGATTTCACTCTCGTCTACTTTTCGCATATATTTTTAATGAAGAATTCTGATACAAACGAATATTGTTTAAATAATTCTGATACAAAATTCGAAAATAACAGTTGACAGTTGATACAATTGACAGGCCAGACATGTCTCAAATTACTGAAGCTATGTTTAATGAACTGCGTTGCCATGGTAATGTGTTTAAGAAATCGTGTTGCCATGGTAACGTGTTTAATATTTCGAATAAATCACAGATCGTCAATTTGTGATTAATCGATCATTTAGCATCGTACATATCCGTTCGCTAAATGCCATTTCAGTTATGTGAGTAGAAAAACGTATTTTTCTACACCATCAGTTTTCACAATTTTGTTCAAAAAGGTCGTCATGTTTCATTTGATATCTGGCGTTAATTGTTCATTAATCATTTTCAAGGAGTTTTTGATAGTGATAATTTGCGGATACCAAATAAACATAGTTAGGTTAATCCAACTCCTATGCTATTTCTTCAATGATTCCCTCATTATGATTGATTGTTAGGTTGGCTCAGTTAAAATATGTCGTAAGGGCATTTGTTTTCAAGATACAAAGTGCTGTTAATAAGACTTTATCACACATTTTTTACGGTTATATCGAAACTACTCGCAACATTGTGATCATCAATCATCATTCAATTTAACAACAGAAAGTACTCTTGATATCACCCAATACTGTGTACCGTTTTCGGAATAATTTGATTTGAAAATGAAGGAGTAATAGCTGATGCTGGTATGAAATAATTATTATTGAGATCAATTACCTACTTATCCAAATTCAAAACTAATAACATTATTCTTGTGCTGAAGTTACAAGTATAAAATTGAGATGGATTTAACTAAAAATATAAATTTTGGAATCAGTCAGAGTGAAATGTTCAGAATGTCCTTCGTTCCTATCTTTTTCTGAGGAATTCTAAACAATTGAGGATCAGGTCATTCAAGTGATGTTCAATTTCAGCTTGCAACGCTGCATTATTCTTTTAAACAGTTGAGGATCAGGTCATTCAAGTGATGTTCAATCTTATATCTTGCAGAGGTACATTAAAACCTCTGTAGACTTTTTTCTTGCCATACAACAAAACTGTGTAATGCATGTTTTTAGTCAAGTTTGTTTCAATGTGATACTTGTGATTCATTGTTTGATCCATAAGTTCAGCATTGGGAATATATTGCTCTTTTCAATTTTTAATAAATAGGTTATAGTTTTTTATAATACTCTAATACATAGCTTTATATCAGCAACAGTTATCTCTTCATCATTCTTCAATCGAAATATTCTCACAGTATCGAGTATTATCAAGGGTATCTTTTTGGTCTGAAATTGAATGATGTTCGAGTTCACAATAAATTTGGTAGGAGTTCATATTGCTCGAAGTGGAGTAAAATTATTCACAGGAAAGAAGGATGACTTCGAGCATTCCTTTCCTTCCTATGGAAAGTCATGAAAAATGTGTGAAAACATTGTTGTTTTCAACACCTTTCTTGAAAACGAATGCCGTTACGAAATTATTTTACTGAACAAATCCAACTTACTTTGCAGTGTTCCACCTACCCTAGCAAAGGGGTCACCTATTTTTGAAACACCCTGTATAGTATACTCAAACTGTAGTAAGCTCCTACTAATGTTTATATGAGATGTTATGTAATAACACTCACAGTGTTCCTATGACTATCAAATTGATTAAATAAACCTCAGTAGATACTATATTGATACTGATGTTGCCAATATATGAAATCTCATATACAAGCGTTCATGTGACAATTTTGTCATATTGATGATGATATTCAAAGAGTCATCATATTGCCAGGAAATCACAAAGATATCTGATATGACTGTTTGTAATTTGATATGATTCGTCCTTTATTTCAGTTGTTTTGGCAGAGGCCATTCCTTTCCTGAATCTCTTCATCTCATTGGTAGGAGCCGTCAGCAGTACTGCGATAGCATTAATCATCCCGCCGATACTAGAACTGATCACCCGTTTCACCAATGAGGAATTGACACCGTCTGTCATCGTCAAAGATGTCTTTATAATACTATTGGGTGTACTCGGTACTGTCACTGGTGGTTTCGAGAGTATTAAATCCATTGTGAACGCTTTCGGCAAAACGTCATAACGATGATCAACAGAAAAGGATATAATAACTTATTGATATGGAACAGTCATTTCAATTCTCTTTGAGCCCACCTGCTTCAATACATGAAAGAGAATGTGGGAAATACGAAAGCCCAACTCCGCTTTGTTTCGTGTCAAATAGGCATCAGACAATAAAATGACAAGTTAGTCCATCAAATGCTTCTGGCACATGAAATATTGTGCTCATAGAATATAGTAGTACAATCAAAGATTAAGACGGAACTCTTAAATCTCTCAACATCTCCTTACAGCTCTTGAAATAAGATATCTGCAAAGATCGGAGTATGTTAGATGAATTTGTTCCTGGGATAGTAATGGAAACAGTCACATGACTGATTACTTTCTTTCATCATCGAAAGAACGATACACTACCAACAAATGTATGGAATTATTGATTATACCTAAATATTAGATACTAGTCAGAGTATTACTTAAGACATATCTGTGATTTTGTACTTAATTCGTATTATCGTCTTTTTCTACAGATATTTTACCTTCTATATAATAAATATTTTACCCAAGTGTTTATATGCCTTCTTAGTGACAATATTTAGCTTAGTTCATCTAGAATATATGAAATGAATGATTGTGTATTGTGAATATAAGAACTGTCATATTATATTGGGGTGTTTCCTTATGTAACCTTACGCATGTATATTCAGAAAAAAAAACAGCTTCAATTCAGATGATCTCACTTGGTATACTGATGGATCAGTATCATAAAATTTTACTCTCTAGGGCAATATACCCAGCAAACATCGACAGGCGGTAGAAAGCCGGGCCCATGGCGAGAACGGCGGGCAAATGTCGATGTCGGCATGCCTCGAAAGGCCCTCCATATAATTTCGAAGGATTATGTGACGAAGGCAGAATGTACACATAGTTATGATGGGCCTCTGTTCCCTAGCCGCTAGTCTTCCGCTGTATGTATCCAAGTCCAAGGGCCATCAAAATTTCAACGGAGTGTGCCCATCATCACTCACTCAACGTTGGCATCCCTCGCTCGCGTTCGTTTTTATTTTGATCATTTTGCAGTGGTAACAATGATTCAGTATGGCGTATATTAATTTCTTTGTTTATGTTGTTTCAACACTCTCAACAGGTGGGAATTCGCCTTTTGACCATGGTAGGAGACACATGGCGTCTCCAGGTCAAAAGTCAGGTTAATGTGTGTGCAAGTCCATAATTTTTCTAATTACCTGATCTGGATTAAAATCCAATATTTATTGTGAAGTTTAATAAGTGTGTGTGAAAATTATCAAGCCCTTTTATCTCTACGCCGGTATAGAGGCCGGATGGTGACGGATTCACCGGATAAAGGGGCCATACTTGAAATCAAACGTGCTCAGCATGAGCACATACGATAGAATCTTTGGACATTGATGAACTCGGTTTCCGGGCATGGTGACGGACTACGGTGTCTTTAGTGCTCGAGTCGAGAGATAATATTATTACATAACCATATATATTCTTGAAAAAAATTAATTACCTGATCTGGAGAAATTGTTACCGAAAGGTGACAGAAATCCAATAAACCCAAAAGAAGAAGAAGAAGAACACTCTCAACAGAGATTTTAGTACTGTGTTCAGTTCGTGTTTGGTTTTCTAGTGGATTTTTATACAAAATGGAAGGGCATTGAAATAAATACAGAGTGAGTTAAGGAAAAAACATATATACAGACTTGCACAGCTAGATAATTCTTCAATTTTAGACAATAATTTTACAAACACCATTGAACAAACAGATGCAATGATAGTTTGGACATATTCAGCGAATACACAAGAATATGATAATATATGAGGACTTTGAAGATGCATGAGCTTTCATTACATATGAATCATGAATCTATTTTCGAAACCAAAATAAAACAGTACCTACTTGGAGAAACAGTTACATTCCAAGAATTACTGTAGGTATGTATAATGGTGCATGTTTTGGATTAGTAGAGGATGAAATCATTCAATCTATCAGCTACAAAATCAACAACCAGAAGCCCATCAATCACAGATATTAATGAAGAAATCACACAATGATCCAGACTATGATATAAATTCCTTCATGGTATATGATATCTCACGAGATATCTCTCTTCCAGGCAACACTCATATCAATATGATGAAGAGTACCTAAGGTTCTCCATATCTGGGAATTGTTTTCTTGTGGATTGAACTCTATTGTTGACAATAACTTGATCAATATAATAAATGATCACCTACATAACTTTCAAGTTATTTGGTAGGTACATAGGTGATGTAATTTTTGACCTAGAGTTAGCAACTTTTTGAAACAAGTGAAAAAACAAATATATATCCTGCATGATGAAACACAAATACATATTATTGAAAATTTTAGGTACCTTTTCATAATGAGTATACAGAGTGATATGTAGAACTAGAATTAAGATGTTTGATGTTCCTATAGTTATGATATGTATTGGTAGTGATCATGGCAATAATATACACACATGAATATTTTCAGTTCTTGTTTTTGTATGGGGTATTTATACTGCTAGTTCCAGGAAATAACTGTGGTATCAGAATGCCATCTCACAGATTTTATGTAATTATTCAACAACTTCAGGTAAGGAGTGAATTCCACATCTCTGTTATACCCAGAGCATTCACAAAAAACTCGGAAACCTCAATTCTGTTTATTGAAGTTCCACTTTTTTAACCAGTTTGAAAATGAAGAGAGTGATGCAAATCTGAGTGGAAATGAGATTCGTTGCTATCCAAGTGATGATATAAACTGGGATACCTATCAGAAAACCTATTTCCACTGAGATATATGCATTACCCTGTATATTTTTTGACAAACCTAGTTGAAAAATGGAACATCAAAAAACAGAATACCATGAATATTGAATTCATTCAACCTCGTTAACCAACGGCCCTGAAAAACTCCTCTATCGGATGAATAAAAATACTAAAGCGGCCAATTAATGGCAGTCTCTGAAAAGTCTCAATCGGGCCGAAGATATGCCATGAATGCAGTACATCTGAGTACTTGCTTCTGCCCACCAGAAGCCCTTCAATGTAATAAGCGGCATACTGATGGCTCTAGAGAGGCGGTCGGCTGTCGGCCGCCGGACACGGGCTAGCCGGCCCCATTTTGTTGTACAATAGAGGACCGCTATTACCGCTCGCCGGCAAGTTTCATTGTACCATTAGAGGGCCGCAAGAATCATGTTTGCTGGGTACTGCCACGATATCCCGATATATTTTCAAAATTCACGTATTTTCTCCATTCTTTTTGGATCTCACGAGAAGAAATCCCTATTATAATCGAGGAGCTCGTATTCAGAAGGATATAACAAGGGGATAGTCAGGTCCCATACCGTCATGAACGTATTTGCCTATACATATACAATCAGATATAATCCAAACTAATTTGGGAATACCTTCACAACTTCGTGTGGATCTCAACAAGTTATTCAAGATTGAAGATATAATGAGCTGGAAGCCAACGAGAGGTAACTGAAAATGGCTTGGAGAAGATCTGATGAATATTTTACCGAACGAAATCAGCATTTCGTATCATAGAGGCTACTCATATGTTGAATCATCAAGAAGTGGACAAACAAACAACAACAACAACATTATATAAATAACTATAGACCAACTCGAAAGTTGTAATTAGCCCTGACAGATTTTGATTGTTTTCTCAAAGTTTTTCATGTTTCATCAGTATAGTACTATGGTAGGCATTTTCATTGAGATTCAAATACATGGTGGGAAATAAAGATTTCTTGACTCATTTTACGGCAACAGATTTCTGTCATTTTGAAATCAGAATTATCAATTCGTATAGCATATCACGGATATCATGAATCAGCGATTCAACCAAATCGTATAGGAAATACTTTCCAAAAGCCATAATTTTGGGTTCCCAATAATAGGTTTATAGGGTTAATTGAGAAGGTGAAAATTCAGAGTTTATCTCGGTAGTTTCGCTGACTGAACAGTTTGTTATTTCCATTTATTCCGTCCTTCAATAGAGTATTACCAGACATGTTGAGCCCTGGATGGTCTACGATTCCTGGAGGAGATGGTGTCTAGTAATAAATGTCTTGTTGTATATCATTATATCATTGGTATGAAGGATACTATAGTAGGAAATCATAAAAAGCCTGCAATTCTATTTAACACCTTTCGAAGGTTCATTTGAATAGGGAGAACGTTGCGTATATAAGTGTTCTGGTGGCAGCTGCGAAAAATCTACCTATATAAAAATTAAATGGAATGGATTCCTCCATCCACAACAACATCCAAATTTATTACACATGCCGCCACTTTCTTGTGTTCGCTTCAATTCCAATTTCAAAAGCACTTGATCCAAACCCACCCGAATTTTGGGAGTTATTTCAATAAGTTACAGTAATTTTTTGTAATCTTGATTTGTGCACTCTCGCGGTATATTGAATCAAAATCATGACATGACGTTAGTCACATTATGGATATAGAAAAGTGGAGAAGATGGCGCTGAAAGAAAAGGAGAATTTAACCAAGGATGGTAGAAACGACATCTACTGTGGACTACGTGAACTCCAAACCTGATTGTGCATCAATTGCATGCGTAGTGAAATTGATCGAAAAATTAAATGATCGAAAAATCACACTATCGAAAATCAATTTTTCGAAATATCATATGATCAAAATATCAATTGGTTGAGTTATATTCAGATCGGACTTATAACATAATAAAAGCAACATATTTTGGGCGTGTACACCTTAGTAGAACTTTTAACTCAAACCATGTTTATAATGATCCTTTTATACATAAATAATAATTGACGACATAATTGGATGGATGGTACCTTCTGAAAACGGACCCTCTTATGACGTAGAAACCTCATATCGCCATAGTTAAAAGAAAATACCTTACGCCCGACGGAGACTGAGGCAACTGATATATTAATCCTTTCAACTGTCATCTCGCGCTAATTCACTTTGCCAGAAATCATGTATCATTCATCTCTGTCTGGAATCGTCTTGTTCCAGTAGTAGGGTTTTGACATCACATCATCGCCTCGTTTTCAGAGGTCCGAGAAATCGGGGATTTCAATAATTTTTTATAAAACGTAGGGAGCTCACAGCAAGAAACGGTTTGGGGTGGTGAGCTAGTTTTGGTGGGTTCTATCGAATTATGAAATAAAATTTTTTTGTGATATAAGCCCTTTTCACGTATTTCAGGCAAACAGCGTAAACCTCATTTTCAGCCGTTACACTGTTTGCTGGAAGGTTAAGGAGGGAAAATATCCTTTTTGCATGACCATAAAAAAGGAGACTAATTTTCTTAAACATTCTAACCTAACTCGGCCTAAGTGAACCTTCCTCCTAGATTTTTTTTTATATCGCTTGGAGCGCACGAAAGGGAATCCCTATCATGTTCAAAGAACATCGTGCATTCCTAGGGAGGATATATATATTTATTATATTTCGGAATAACTGGGAATATCAAACAGGGGCGACAACATGGGAAGAGGGGGCAAGGGGGGCGAATGTGACATAAATTCTGACATTATTATGTTGATCACTATAGTTATAATTGAGGTTATAATTCTCACATCAGCTTCTCACAATAAAATCCTTTATATCAATGTATTCCTGTAATATATACAAAGGGTTTAGGACGAATTGGTGAGTATAGTTGAATATCATGAGCAAATTTTTATATTCTGTCAGAATGTAGTTCGATATCAACTGATATTTCGATCAATTGGAATTTCGATCTAATGATTTTCGATCATATTTCCACAACCGAATCACCATTGCATGAGGCAGTAGTAGGACTTACGGTTCTCAGTGTTAGTGCACAGTCTATATGAAAAGCTATCCCTAAGGCCATCTCTTGAATAGGTTCGGATCAAAGACTTCGTTAGATTAGTAATTTCAGGCTGAAAGGCTAATCTTTCCTATGTTTTTGGAAATAAATTTATATATAGGTTGTCACATATTGATTCGCAAATCCACTCTTTCAGTACAAAACTAATCACAGAAGTCTATTGTAGTATACACTTAGTAGATATGACCATTCATATCGTATAATGATTATTTCTTCAATTATAGAAAATTAACCTTACTATCAGTTATGAAATAGTTTTCAATTCTCAAAATATGGATATATTATTATAATATTCATTTTTTATGTAGCTACAAAAAATATTAAATACTAATCAATTTCAATCAGTTTTCCAATTTATTATATGCATTTAGAAATGCTTGATACTTACATATTAAGCTCATTGATTTCACTAAAAGTACTGAATATAAAGTTATACTAACAAGAAATATATGAAACCAAAAATTTTACTTTTTCTTGTGTGTAGAATGGTAGTATTTCTTTCCCCCCTGGCTCGACGATTTCTTTCCCCACTTGCTGGCAGTTTGACGATGACTTTTGGTAGCTCCTTGTCCTTGGTGGTTCTTATGATTGTCGGTGTGATGACCACCATCCTTCTTTCCAGATTTTCCGTGAGATTTCTCGTCAGCGGATTTCTGGAGTAAAGCGGTCGAGAAATATGAATATATAATTGATAAGGGTATCTTGATTTTAACAACGTAGTGACCGTTGACATATTTTTTCTTCTTGCCGCTTGCTGACCTATGCCGATAGGCATTGAAACAACCTAACCATTGACATAATTCACTATTCAGACCAGTATGATCTCATCAAATCTGATTCAACTGTTCTTCTGAAAACGCTTCTGGCAGGAGCCATGACATAAAAGCGAGTCATGTCACTTTTTTGGTGTTCCAAACCAATAGCAAACGTGAGAAAGATATATGCAGGGTCCTCCAGATGGTTTGAATCATCAAAAATAATTTTCTTAAATTAGTTGCTGAAATTGGCCCATTTGTTTGATTTCATAAACGTTAATTGAGGGCAGTTGCTTCCATTCCGATTTCACACATTTATGTATCTCAAATTTGAACGTTAAAATTTTAGATTCTAATTCCTTTCACGAAATTTCGGTTGGGTAGGTATATTGCAAAAAAAAATCGATTTCAACAAATCTGTTTCATACTAGTTGCTTCATCATGCTACTAACGTTCAATAATTACTACTCAGTAAAAAGTTATCGATATAAAATAATTATCTTCAGAAAATTCGAATTTTTGTTGTTCGATGAAGCTATGAAGTTTAGGTATCGTCAAGCATTTATATAAGCTGAATTCAATAGATTTTTTCAGTACCATAATAAAGCTGAAGTCAACAATCAGATCATATAATTATTATGCCAACTCTGTGAAAGACACTGAATTATAGTTCCTACATGGGATTTCATGAAATCCAGTTCGATCTTGGGAAGTCAGCATTTTAGGAGCATAATATTTCAACGGCAACTACTTACTATGCTACAATTATTCAAAGAAGCCCTGAACAATAGTTTTTCAAACTGATTTTCTTGAACTGATTTTCTTTGGCAGTATTCAATAATCAAAAAAATGAGGCATTGATCTTACCTTGTGGTTCTTTTTATTCTTCTTTGAGAACGATTGCGTAGAAAATTTCGAATGTTTGTTTCCATAAATCTGGTATTCTCCGCTCTTGTCACGATTGCTGAAGAAACTGTCATGCTTATTCAATTCATCCTTATGGAAAACTTCTCTGAAACCCTGTAACAAAACATAATGACTGAGCATGGATCTAAAAAATAGGTTCCTGCTATATTCTCAAAGAATATGAAATTATTTCTGATTTGATATTATGTTCAGCTGAGAACATTAATTTGTTATTGGTCATCACCGCAATCATTCCTTGCATCCTAATTCCTATTTCATTCGGAATCGATTTTATGATTCATAGAAAAAATTTCCGATATATGTTAAAGTTTAAATGTATGTATCTACATTTTACAAGCAATATGAAGAATATATCCATTCAAGGGAAGCTTTGAAAAGCTGACGGAAATAGTATTCTAGCGTACTGATCAAATTTCAGTTTTCAGTACGTTTGCGGGTCGCATAAAATCAAAATATGATTTCAATCGATCAATTCATATATTCATATATATATATATATATAATTTATAATCATATGTTTTGATTTTACGCAACCCCCAAACGTAAATTTGAGCACAGCACTGGATTCTTCTTCCAACCAGCTTTCCAATGACATGTTGGGGCTGATTTCAGCTTACTCCTGAAGGCTTATATTCTCCACATTGATCCCAAAATGTAGGTAAAGACATTGTCATTCTGGGTTCAATGCTTATTTACTTTGCATTGAGATGGATTTATGCGCACCGCTCTTTCACTAATCAGTTGCTGTCATTACCTGCCATCAGGTTTATGTTTATTCAACGACTATGATACTTTATGAACCACGTTCTTTTAATTCCAAACTCCTTTTCTTCAAAACATAGTCTTCAGCGTACTTAGCACGATTAAAATATTCACATAACTACAATAAGAATCATTCATTCATATTGTTCTGGTTCCCACGAAAAGGTATATCCCGTAATGTTCAGAGAACATCGTGCGTACCGAGGGAAATAGGGTAAGAATTGGTGTTCTTCTTAAATTTCTGGAAGTTATATGCCTCGGGGAACACCTCTCTTGGCAATGTGTTCCAGAGCCTTGCTGTTCGTTGGGTGAACGAGTCTTTGAAAATAGATTTTCTGCAGGTCTCCAAAGTGACCACGAAGGGGTGCGAAGCCTCATCAACTCGACGGGTTAATCTCGCGGGGATTACCAAGGGAGGAACAATTGTTGATATTTCAGAAGAGCATCGTCCATGAAAATATCTATAAAATAGAGCCAGATCGTCAACTTTTCTACGGTGTTCCAGAGAAGTGTGTGAGTTTGTGAGCGAGGCATCACCCACGAGACGAATTGCCCTTTTTTGGGCAAAATCCAACAGTTTTATGGTATGTTTGGGTGCTGCACTCCAAATAATGGAACAGATTAATGAAAAAAAGAGGTGTGCATGAATCCACCTTCAGAGTCATGCGCATCAAAGGCAAAACTTTGTCTCTCCCTAATAAACTAAGAAAGCTAAATATGTTCCAAGGACACTATTAGGAGGTCCTCATTAGTATTCCTCATATTAAACTTCATTGAATTGTATAAATTATTTTGAACAATTGATTACCGAAAGTGTTCTTTAGGGTCTCACTTCTTCGTGAAGGAGGGGCTTTAGGCGAAAAAATTTTGAGAAGTTCTCATCATGTTTTATTAATAATATATGTCTTGAAATTCTTTGCCAAAGGAAGTATTATCTGGAACTTATAATCTCCCAAAGTTAAAGTGTTATTGCAATACCAACCCCCTATCCTTATCCTTCCTATGTACGCACGATGTTCTTCGAACATTATATGGATTTCCTTTCGTGCGCTTCAAGAGATAAAATAAATCTGTATTCGAGATAGTTTTCACATTTCCTTGGAACCTTGCAAAATATCATCTTGTCTGTGAGAGATTACCTTCATGTAATTGCTTTTCTTTTTGTTGTGGGCTTCCTGAAATTTGGCACCGTGTTGTTTTCCGCCTTCTTCATGTTTCTGTGATTTGTGTGAACCACCTGACGAGTGCTCAGTCTTCTTTCCTCCCTTCTCTTCATCCTCTACCTTGTGGTCTACTTTAGTCTTTTGTCCTTTTTTCTTCTTCTCTTCATCATGCTTACTGCTGCTGCCTGAACTAGCCTGATGTTTATGTTCTGCTAAATGTTTTCCTACAAAAATATTGTTGCTTATCAAGGCCAAAGGAATGAGAAATCATTTCTATTTTTACTGTGTACCAAGACTGTCAAATGGAAAATGATTGACGACTACAAATTCCATAAATTTTGACTGAACGGGGGAATGCTGGGAAAATATTCGGACACGTCGATTGGTATATTCACCCACGAAGAGTTAGAGAATAAAATATTATTCTCCTAGGGTGAAAAGTGCGCTATATAATATATAGCATTCTCGCCCAAGGTATATTATATACAGTATGATGCAAATGTATGGAATAAATTCATTTCAAAACAAGACGACTTCCGAAAAAAATCCAAAAAGTAGAGTTCAGAACTTTTTTATCGATGTATTTTTTCAACTAGACGACCCTTCGATGTTCAATTCTCAGTAGAAGATCTCTGCAAGATTCAGTTAACCCAATGATAATCCATTTTAATTTCAATCTCCTTTTGCAAAATTTTGACTATTGGATAGACGATCAGTAGACCTTTCAAACGAGGTGTCACATGACCCCTGTTTGTATTTAAAAAAACCGTCCATTACGTCATTACTCCAACACCGATGACGTAACATCTCTCATATGAATGTCATGAGATGAGGTTTCAAAAATTAAAACTCACGTGTTTTTGGAATTTCTTCAAATGTCGCCCATTTCTGAAATAATGAATTTATTCCATACATTTGCATCATACTGTATAATATTTTCCCCACTACCTGCCACTACTGACACTGAGAAATCAACATATTTTATCAATTCAGATTTCTTTTGATGGAGCATTCTACTAGTTCAACCAGCAACCAAACACAGTTGATTTCGCGTATTATCAGAGATTTGTTGATACTAATTTATAAAATAATATAGAATTGATTAGGCAATTGATTGATTAGGCAATTGATATAGAGTTCATGTCTTGTACTCAAGAGACGCAAGAAGAGAAAATCAACGTGATTTGTTGAACGGTATTCATAAAATATGGAACCCACTGAACACAATAACAAACATGACCTTGAATTACGTCCTAAACTGGTTCAAATTTGCCCACCAGGTACCGTATCGGAATTGTCACCTTGCCAATTGACAGTTTTTTCTTCATCAACCTAAGTTCAAAAAGTGTTACTACTCATTAGAAGAAATCCTCGAATAATGGTTATTTCTCAGGTAAGTGGTAGAAAAAAAATTCAACAAGAAAATGTTGCCATAGATGGCAAAAAACATATATATTAACCATTGAATTAGCTGGTAGGATCTGTTCATTTCAGAGAAAGTCACTGGTTACATGGTTAGACTAGAAAAAATTATAGTACTATAATAATATATATAACTATTATCATTCAGTGATGATATATTATATAGTAATATAATTTAGTATACCTTTCAATTAACTTTATTTAAACTCAAAATTATATATTTGCGATTATCAATTACTTACAAATTCAACATCATTTTGAAAAATTTTCTACAGCTTGGTTGATATTTGACATGTGACTGATTATTTTATCTATATCTTGTTTGAATGCACGTTGTCTAGACAAATGATGGATGCAAAATTATAACAATTCGGAATATATTATGTATTAATAAGTCGAGACGTATTTGTCTCTCGAAATCTATACAAACTCCACTTTTATTATAGACTCTGTTCATCCCGGCTTCGCACGATTGGTGTACTCATTTAAAAAAAAAACATTACACTGTAGAAAATTCCTCTGAGTGACGGCGTATGTGGTTGTGAGTAAATTTACTGATTGAATTTTTTGAGTGAATTCTCAAATCAAACTATAGATATTTCTTCAAGTTTTTTTATCAATGAGAATGTTTATAACAAAGATTGAATCGGATCATGAATCACCATTTTACACAGTCAAGTATGGTGGAATTTCAACTCAATCGTGCGTGGACCAAAATTTAACCATCACCGTGTGGACCTTCAGTGAAACTTCACTCAATTTTTGTTTTCAGTGTACTTGCAGTCGTTCTGAGCTATGCGTGTATCTACAGTATATAATATTGTTTTGTTCTTTTTCAAAATTCTCATAGCTACTACTTACAACTATATTCATTCTCTCAGTATCTTTTGTATTTTTCATTCACAGTATCTTCTGTTTTTATCTTGTTGTTTCACGTATTGAAAATTTCAACCCAATCGGTTCATCCGTTTAGAAGTTATGTGGAGAAGATAAGTACTGAAAGTAGGCTATGTTCATCAGGGATAATGTCTGATTCTGATAGTAAAAATTTTTTTTCAATTAGTTATCTGGTCCAGAAGTTTCGGAGCCTATTCAATGCAAACAAATAAACAAATCTTTCTTTTTTATAATATTATTATAGACTACCTACTGTCTATTCCATTTTTATAAATTCATCAACTGAGTTTGTGAATCAATCAGAACTTACCACTATTTGCTTCTCCTCCTCCATGATTTGTGTTATGGAATACGTGTATTGCTGCTGAGAAGCTGATGACTCCCACAAAATAGATCTGAAAATCATTTCAATAAGAACAATTTTCTATACCAATCACTCGCTATTTTTTTTGCAATTGCATTACCTCGTTGGTCCCAGCACTGGGATCAAACGCCCCATAAGTCGAAACTTGTGCGGGGTTAGGTATGCATACAAACACAAACATCCATGGCCTAACTAGGATTCGAACCTTTGTCTCGGTGGGAGTCCCCATACGAACTCAGCGCCTTCACGCTCTCGACCACCGAGCCTTATCTATTTTTTTGTGTGCCGAGTATTAATTTCCATTTCATGATTCTTAGTCGACATTGTTCATGTTCCCATAATGGGAATTGCAAGATCAGTTATAAATTCCATGAACTTTCAAAACTATGTTCAAAGAACTCCCAGTGTATTATAGAAGTTCAAACCTACTATTGATGGGGAAGATGTGCTGAAAATCTATGATATGGTTCCAGAAATTGGGGCAATAAATGAAATAAAATGAAGCCATAGATATAGCGAAATGAAAAAATACATCTTTGTCTAAATCAAAAGATATTAAGCCAAGAATTCAGGAATTCAGAAACATTATTCAATAATTCCATGTGGGATAACAAAGCCTCGTTGTCAAGTGAACGTAAATACATATAACAATAACGAAATTCGTGATATTTTTATTTATTCGGGAGTGCTCGCAAAAGGTTGGACCTATAACCCCGTGGTGGAACTGCGAGCACTAAGGATGGACAAATATCGATGGATCCTCCTCTTGAAGGTAAATAGATTGTAGTTCGCTGGAAATACATCTGTGGATAAAGAATTCCACAGTGAAGATGTCTTACAAAAGAAGGAGTTTTTGAAATATGTTGTTCTAGGTGTTTCAATTTTGACTGCATATTGGTGTGAGACTTGAGCCAGCCGCGTTTGGCGAACAAAGGTCATTCCAGGAGGGACAGCCGATGACAATTCAACAGAGCATCGTCCATAATAGTAGCGATAGAAGAGTAATAGGTCTGCAACGTATCTCCGATGTTGTTAAGTTTGCAGTCATCTTGTCCGAGTTGGGTCATTGATGAGCCTGATGGCTCTTCTTTGAACCGACTCCAGCAACCTCAGGGTGTGTTTTGGAGCTGATCCCCAGACGTGCGAACAGTACTCAAGGGATGGGTCGAATCTGGGCTTTGTAGAGTGTCAGGAGCTGTTGTGAGGTGAAATACTTCTTCGCGCGGAAGAGGAATCCCAGCTTTTGAGAGGCAGCTCTGGCTATATTGGCAACATGGTCATGCCAAGATAAGCTGTCAGATACCGTGATGCCGAGCATTGATAGTGGAGAACTGATTGGAAAGGTTCTTCCAGCCATAATTGTATCAGGACCCGCATGGTTAGCCTTCTTAGAAAAAACTGTTGATTGAGTCTTCAAAGCGTTGAATTGTACGAGGTTCAAATTGCCCCATTGTTGGATCCTTTCCAAATCGTCGTTGATGGTCTGGATCTGTTGCAAACGTAGGCCTTCGTTGGTTGATGCGGATACACTGGTATATGATGCTATAAGAGTGGTATTGTCAGCAAAACTGAAGAGATGGTTGGTAGTCATGTGCAACAGATCGTTGATATGTAGTAAGAAAAGCGTTGGGGATAAAATAGAGCCCTGTGGTACTCCTGCATTGGTAGGCAGTGTGTCTGAAGTAATCCTGTCAACAACTGAATGGAAACTTCTATCTTTGAGGAAGCTGGTAATCCAATGGCATAGTAGGGGCGGCAGACCACAGGAAGGCAACTTGTTCAGAAGTGCCTGGTGACAAATGCTTTGATATGTCTAGGGCAATAGCCCTAGATTCTCCGTGTTTTGTAGATTTGTGTGCGAGATTTGAATCCCTGGGAGAATTTTCCAATTCAGTATTACTGGGTACGTAAGTTTTCATGATTTAGGTATGTGTGATTTGCCCAATTTCCTATGTATAAATGTATATTTTTAGAACTCGTACTCATCTCTGGAATAAACTTGACATTCGCTATCTGAATAGCTCAGAACATTTACAAAAGTTTGTCTAAAACTCTTGTGACTCATTGATCACAGGTTATTAGTCCAACCCAAGCGTTTGCTTTCGGCGTGATCACAATCATCGAAAGTATCATTGACTTTCGCAAAGTCACCAATATCAAATCACATTAATTGTCCAACTCTGAAGACTTTCAACTTGTATCAGAATAGTATACGATTTATGTTAGGGAATTGAAGTACTAGATAGTTTGACAGTTTCTGTAATTTTTTAATATTCAATACGAAACTTGATTTTTGTGAACCAAACATTCGAAAAAGATGATTTGTTATAGCTGATAGCTTTTGGTCATCCATGTTTGAGAAAAAATGAAATAAAAAATCAAGGTCAGTGTGGAAAAAAAGTTTTTGGTGGTTTCTGGAAGACGAAACGTCGGATATAAAATTTGGAGACGCTCACAAGCATAAGTTGCCATGATGAAGTGTCATTCATTTCGATTTGTTTATGAATAACTGACAATCAAAATGAAATAGTATATATAGTTCACCTAACAAATGCGGAAAAGTCACTTTACGCACGTCTTAGATACACTATCTTTATCACTTTTTTCACTCATTGAGTGTTGAACGCACTAGTGCGGAAAAGTGATTTTCTCAGCACTTGAATGAGTGTTACAAAATTTCGGCTATTCTCCAATTTCACAACTTCGCCTCGAGATAACCGACCATGTATTCCTTACGGTTCATAAAATCTCAATGATAAGACTCTAATTCCAACCACCCTGTACAGAAAACTTCCAATAATTCCATAATCAGCAGTGCTTCTAGGTTAACTTATTTTTGAGTGAGCGGGCAGTTATTTTTATATTTACCTATATTATTCACTGACTCAGAGATAACCTATTTTCATAGATTCAATGTCAGAATAATTGGTTCCTATATAGGTGAAAATAATAACCAATTCCTATTCCTCATACTCCACACACAATATGTTATTACAATGAACTGAAAATAATACAACATAGTCGACTCTATTACCAAAATTTCCAATTTGTTAATCACTATCAAAACTCGTTACGTTAGTCTTCAATTAATCCGTGAAACTGTTTTTGCAATTCACCTAGCTGGATTCTGAGGCGGATTCGATTCAATAGACATCGATTTCATGGCCATCTTCCTGTAAGATAATGAGAAAATTTCTCTTTTCAAGAAATAATTTCAACTTGTAATACAGTGTGCTTAAGTTCAATGTGCTCTACTACATACTCATTTTAACAGTTAACTGGCAGCATCAGTAATTATAGAGTAATGAAAATCATTTCTATAGTACTCGCAGGATAATGATGAAAATTAATTCATCTCTATTCATCTAGGCTCTAAAGTCTAAAGGGTGACAAACTTCGTTTTCAGATTCCTCATTTCGTTTTCAGATAACTTATTTCGTTTTGGAGAAAAAAGCATGTCCTAATATGCATCAAATTTGACTGTCAAAGGTACCATGAAATTTATGATTTATGATTTTGACACTTTTGCTCTTATTGGAAAGAATCAAGGTGATAATTGAAAATCGGAAGTGATTCGCGAAAATCACGAACCAATAGATGGCTCTATTTAACGTAAAATCAACGTCAAATTTTCAACTGAGTATGAACAACAAAAACATTGCCGTATGCACTAATTGCAAATTGGTTATTTCCAAATCATTTTGCAAAATAGTGAATAATGAGTTGACTTCTTGAAATACATACAAGGTTTCCAGTATGGACAAAGTTACTTTTTGTGCAGAGAAATTGCCATTTTGATGTGGACAATGGTGGTATTCATCATTGATATCACACTACAATCACACAGTTTTCAAACATAATTCCACTCAACACTTGCATGGACTGGAATGGAACCATACAAGCAATCAGCTATTACAACAATATGGTATGGGTATGAAGAAATAATTGAAATCATCAAGAAATATCACTGGCTCTTATGAAGGAGATGGAATTCTAGTGAAGGGGTTGGAAAAGAAGATATGGTTGGAGAGGCTGCTCAGAATGAACAATATCATCGATTTACATAAACAAGGATCTCCAGCAATTGAGGACTTCAAGTTATTCTCAAGATCGAATCATTGCAACCAACATTTATGCAATGATTCTAATTCAAATGTATATTATATTATCATGAGGTAGGTACTGGTTTCTTCATTGTAAACAATAAAAGTTCATGCAATAATTCGAGTTTTTTCATCAGGGAGAAATGAGGTTCTGGAATATGCACTTCAACAAATGAATTATTTTCAAATAAAACACATATTAAAATTTATGAAATTCAAAATAATGGTCGCCATATTTGTTGTTCATACTCGCAAGACTTGTACAGTTAGCCACCAGAGGCCGCACACTTCGTGATTTTCGCGAATTGTCTTGAATGTTTGTAATTCAGTAGCGTAGGTCGTATCTACTGTTTAAGAGACGAATTCTCATCTACTTACCTGCACCGAAACTCAGTCAGGAATCTTATAAACAACTTGAAGAAATAATGAGTCATTGATTGTGAAGTTGATATATTTTCATGATGTCCATTTGTAGGAATGAATCTCTTTTTTATGTTCTGGTTCCCACGAAAAAAGAGATATACTGTAATGTTCAGAGAACATCGTGAGAACCAAGGGAAATGAGATAAGAATTGGCGTTCCTCATTCTTTGGAGGTTAATTGCCTCGGGGAACACCTCCCTTGGCAATGTGTTCCAGAGCCCCGCTGTTCGTTGGATGAACGAGTCTTTGGAAAGAGATGTTCTGCAGGTCTCCAAAGCGACCACGAAGGGGTGCAAAGCCACAACTCGACGGGTTGATCTCGCGGGGACTGCCAAGGAAGAAACAATTGTTGAGTATTCAGAAGAGCATCGTCCATGAAAATATCTATAAAATAGAGCCAGATCGCCAATTTTTTTACGGTGTTCCAGAGAAGTGTGTGAGTTTGTGAGCGAGGCATCACCCACGAGACAAATTGCCCTTTTTCGGACAGAATTCAACAGTTTCAGGGTATGTTTAGGTGCTGCACCCCAAATATGGGAACAGTATTCCAGGACAGGTCGGATCTGTGCCTTATAGATCATAAGCAGCTGACTGGAAGTGAAATAGCTCCTGGTCCGAAACAGAAAACCAAGTTTTTGGGATGCACTTTTAGCAATTGATCTCACGTGATTTACCCAAGGAAAGTCATTGCTGATAGTGATACCAAGCATCGAAATGGATGTCTTCAAAGGTATGGTTACTCCTGACAAGCTTTTGTTGGGCACAGTGAGATCGGCTTTTCCAGAGAAAAGGCATGATTGTGTTTTGTTTGCATTGAAATCAACCAAGTTATTGGATCCCTATTCGAGAATTGTTGCCAATAACATATTTATGTTGTCAACATTTCTCCCTCGTTCGTTTCTGAGACTGAAGTGAGTTGTTCTTGTTTTGATTCGCTCTATATGGTTTTTTCTAATCTCTAAGAAAACAAAGAAATAATCAGAAAGAATCATCAATAAATCCTGTTGTTTTGATCGGTCCATTATTTTTAAAATTAATCTATATCTATTCATATCGTTAGCATTTCAAACCTATTGAAAGATTTCCTTATTCCTATAGTATTGTACTCAAAATGTCTTTCGTTGTTTTATCTGTTTCGCTACACTACCAATCCACTAATCATTCCACCTGTCAGAAGCTGAAATATAAACAGTCAAACCTGGATATCGTGATGAAAGTTTTCTCGAATTTCGTTCAAGTCTTCGTGGTATTTACTATTTACTATTGATGTGAAATTTGGAATGCAATCACTGAGAATCATGAAGAACCATTGTGATTTTGAATGAAGGGGAGGCATTCCCAGACAGCATCAGATATTCCATGAATTTTCATAGAATACTATTTTTGGATAATGGGAATATTCATGAACATGCCAGGGAGAATGTATATATTCATAGGAACAAGGAGTTTTCCCAATATATTCAGAATGTACCTATAATATCCTAGAAATATCCAGATAATATTCAATTCAGTATCAAAAGTCATCAAAAGTAGGTATACAGATTGAGAACATTGGAGAATGATGATGGGTATGGTACAAATTCAATGAAACAGGTCATTTATTTAGTGAACATTAAGTGTACGAGTTGATTTGTCAGGAATTCTTCCATGGAGTTAAAGCTGTGTTCTATTAGGAATTAGTCAATCTCCGTGAACTCTGAGCAGGAAATAATGAATCTCGTTTATTGTTAAGGATTCCACTAGATTCACTACTGATATATTGTCTGACTGAACTGAGCCTCTTGAAGTGCGATGAATTAGACACAACATTGAATGGAAGATATTTGCTGGTGGATAAAATGATACAAATAAAATGAGCTCTTATAATAATACTTATAGAGATTTTGACCACAATGAAAGTTTCGCGCACCTGAATAATGAGAAAGAAGAAAAAACTGAAAGTGAAAACTTACCAACACTAGACTGATCTTCATGTTTGTTATCAACCACAATGTTCCTCAACGCACTCACGTTTGTAACTGTAACCGCCTTGGCGTTTTCACGTTCTTCTCTTCTCGAACTTTCGTAGTGGCAAAGATCTTGGTGTCGGGTAGACAGACAGGTAGAAGATCGTACCTTGTGGTCGTACTCTCGCACAGAACAGGTCGTTCTCGTCTCGAATCACCCTAATGATACGGTGTACCCTGCGAAGAGCTTATTCACCGAATACGAGCATCAGTCAAGGTCTAGACTATTCTAACAATAGGTATTTGAACACTACGGTGGGGAATCAGAGAAGACGATTGTATCCCGAGGTTTTAGTGAAAAATAGTAAATTATACTCCTAGGGTAAGAAGCCTCAGGATTGAAAAATACTTGTTATATAATAGGTACCAGAGGCATTCTGGAGTTAAAACGAAAAAAAAAAGATATACAGAGATTTCTCAAAAGAACAGTAGTCCTTAGGGGCTATGTATGTGATTACATGCTCAAAATCCTAACAAATAAAACGGCCGCCATCTTGAAATTCGGTGGTATCACAAAAAAAATGATAATTACTCGAAGACGACACCATTTCTTGAAAATTACCAAGAGTATAAATAGTTGTGAACAAAAAGGTCATCACGATTATCGTATCATTTTTACTGTATTATATACAGAGGGGGCTCATGAATGCCGTTGAAAATTTTCCTAGAATTAAAAAAAACTCATGTAATCGGAGAATTAGGAGTAGGTATTCAAGGCCCAAAGCTTATAAATAATTGGGGATGAATGAAAATAGATGAAAGCTACGATTTTCCTCATTTTTGTCAAATATAAGTTATCATCAGTGCTAGCATTCTCTATAGTGCAAAATACTCGTCTCGAATCACCTTGTACCCTGCGAAGAGCTTATTCACCGAATACGAGCATCAGTCAAGGTCTAGACTATTGTGACAATAGGTATTTGAACATCACGGTAGTAAAAAATAATATTCGAGAAGAAGATTGTATCCCGAGGCTTTAGTGAAAAATAGTGAATTATACTCCTAGGGCAGGGATGGGGAAATAGAGAGTGGGGCCGTATGAAATAACACCAGACTTTGGCGGGCTGAATATAATTTATTACAATAATTGACAATTTAACTATTGTTCAGAAGTAGAGGGTTGGTGTGACAGCTGAAATTTTGATTGTTTAATAATCATGTCATCGAAATTTGGCTCTATTTCACTCGAACTGATATCCGCAAAACGCATTCAAGATGTTCGTCATCTTATTTCTGAGTACATTTTTACGCAGCTTCGTTGTAGAAAATACCTGCTCACAGATGTATGAAAACACAAACATAGACTTGATTCTCTGAGCGTGTTTCATAAAATTTTGGAAATTAGATTTAAGTAACTCTTATATGATGAGTTGTTGAATAGTTGTTTTAGAGTTTCATCACATTGTAGTTCGATTACTTCGAGTTGAAACTGCTGCTATTTGCTCACAATCAACGGCAAATAGATGAGAAAACATAACCTAGGAAAATTTCGAGATTTCTTAGTGCAATTTACGTTGTAAACAAACGCAACTACAACTTTATTTGGGTCCAGGCTTGGTCAAGAAACAAATTTTTGACTTGAATGATGCTCTTATTCAATTTGTTCAAGTATTCAAGTAAATCTATGAAGAATGCGAAGTCCGAAATCCATTATGAGTCTTCAATATTTCCAAGTTGTCCAACTTCGATTGTTGTCGCAAGAATTCAATCATTTCATTTCTCACAGGGCAATATTGGCTCGTTTTGATCGCGGGCCGCATCGATTCATGTCGCGGGCCGGATTTGGCCCGCGGGCCGCCATTTCCCCATCCCTGTCCTAGGGTAAGAAGCCTCAGGAGAAAAAAGTACTTGTTATATAATAGGTACCACAGGCATTCCGGAGCCATAACGAGAAAAAAAGATATACAGATATTTCTCAACGGAGCAGTTCCACTTTGGGGCTATGTAGGTAATTACATACTCAAAATTCTTTAACAAAGAAAATCGTCGTTATGTCGAAATTCGGTGTTTTCTACAAAAAAATTGCTAATTACTCGAAGACGACACCTTTCCTGAAAATTACCAAGAGTATAAATAGTTTTATACAAGAAACAAATCTCGATTATCATATTATTTTTATTCCTTTATATACAGGGTGCTCATGAAAGCTGTTGAGAATCAATAATTTTCCTAAAATTTTAAATAAACACAATTAATCGGAGAATTAGGAGTAGGTATTCAAGGCCCACAGATCATGAATGATTGGGGATGAATAAAAAGAGATGCAAGCTGAGATTTTTATCATATTTGTCAAATAGAAGTTATCATCAGTACATCAGTGCTAGCATTCTCTATAGTGCAAAATACTGAGCTTTTAGAGAACAATTGAGCAGCTTGCTGAAAGAAGGATGATGCTCCAGTTTTGGTGATTGTTGGGAAATAAAAAAAAATTATAATGAAGCAAATATTTTTTTTAAGAAAGAAGAAATGCCAATCTTCTTTAGACAATGTTTGCTTCTATTTTGAACCAGTAATTCTTCGATTATAGAGGGGCAAATTTGGCGCTGCATTTTTATTGCACCAATCACGTGGAAACTCCTATATTAAGTTACAAAAATCGAAAGAATATGGATCATTAACTAAAAAAAAAACAGAAAATCATTAAGAATCAACATCTTTAGAGCAAATGATATGATTTTGCATTCCATTGGGTTCAACAAATACATATATACGATCGTTTATTTCAAGAGGGATGCAACTCTGGAGAAGCGAATGAGCAGGCAGATAAATAAATGCGTGTAAATTCCTATATTTATCATCGAATCTGCATCGTTTTTGCACCAGTCGAACCGCCGAATTTTCCTGATTTGAACGTATATCTCAACTCGAAATGACCAAAAAATTGAGCTGCATCTTTCTTGCAGCAAGCTACTCAATTCATAATTGAACAAAGTTCGTTAGCATTGTTTCTTGCATAATTGCAGGCTACAATTTTTGATAATATGTAGTCTGGAGCTAGTAGACTTTCCTCACATATAGGTACCAAAAACTGATCCTCATACTTCCAGTCCCTTTCAGTTGATAATGAAAATCATTAACTTTTCATATCTGTATCTAATTACACAAAACCCTCTTGACATGAATTTCTGCAGAATCTTTAGTTGAACGACTGATCGCTACATGAATTATCCTTGAGTTTTTGGTCTGCAATCATTTTCTTGTACAGAACATATCTTTATTGATTTATATAGGATTGTGAAATATCTTTAGGATAATGCATAATCATCTGCGTATTTCAAGATATTCATCACGACCATCTTTTCTCGTTTGAAAAAACTTGATGAACTATCACATCCAATGGCAGCTTGTGAAAAACATATGATTTCTGTTAGTATTGTACTTTTATTTTTTGTACTGAAAATGTCATGAACTGTTCGAGGTCCTTATTCAGTCCCGGGTCCGAGCATAAACATATTTATTTCGCCATAATGTAAGAATGAAGCAAATAAATCTGTATCCCCACCGACAATAGTTTTTGACACATTGGTCGAAAGTTTTTTTTTTGCCGTCAAGGCTATCAGTAGATCTGCATCATCTTAATCTTGACTGACTTCTGAAAACTTCCCCAATCAGTCTTGCATAGAGACCATTGACGAGACGAGTGTTATAAGAAAAGTTACTCTGAAAATCTTCTTGCTGAATTGTTGGTGCCTTCATGTTATCAAGGGGATTTTAGTTGATGTTTTACGGAAAGTTCGTATCGAATTTTATAGACGATGACCTAGTCACCAACCGATATTCATTGATTATTCTACTACCAAGATTTCAATACCAATAATGATTTCCGCATGAGATAAATAATAAAAGAATAAGTTAAACAGTCTAGTTTTATTTCTAGTAATATAACAACAATAACATAAAAACATTCCATCGAGACACATTACAAAAAGAATTTGAAAATGCGCAATGACACTATAATGATAAGGTACTTAAATGTAAAATCAAAATGCTCTAGAAGCACTGTCAAACTCTTTCTCGAATTCTGTTCTCTCTACCATATATTTAGGCAAGCTCGTATCAAGAACCTTGCTGTATACTGGTCTGGTTTCTTCACTATAAGCCCCCTCCTCATCACTAACGTCTATTTCCGACGGGGTTTTCAGAGTTGGCTCCGCTTCAGATTTATTAGATTTCTTAGTGCTCCTCTTCTTCCTGGCAACTACTTGCTGAACTTCATATGGTACCTTGACTTCCAGTCCGTCTGAAGCAGCAGTCTCAAGAGCTTCTGTCGGTTTTTGATTCTTCTTGAAGAAACGTCTCTTCTTCACGGCACTCACCACAGGTTTCTCTTTGGTTTCTTCTGGATGGGATTCGTCATCTTCTAGTTTCTTTGCTCCCTTCAATTGATGGTACGCTACGTGTGAAGATTTGGGATTCGATTCTTGAACGAACATACATTCCTCGTGTTGAATGTTGTTCTTATCGACGCAGAGGAAACAGGTCATTCCCTTCTTCTCAGATTTCTTACAAGCGGATCTGTCTTTTTTGGAGAATTCAGCTAAAACTTCTTCAACGTTCTGTTTGGTTGCTGCTGGGATGTGGTATTCAGCATTTTCTTCATCCTGCTTGGACTCTTCTTTGTTGAGTTCGGGAAATAAAGTGAGATGGTAGTCATCAAAACGTCTAGGAGAGTCAGAGCTTCTAGATTCATGCTTCTTGCTTCCTGCAAACAGTGTAGGGATTTCATATTTTTCATCATTATCATCTGAGCTTTTTTTGTTCGCTTCATAAGATTCATCATCATTATCATAATTTCTTTTGTAAGCTGAACGATTGTCATTACGTTTCCTTGGGGATTTCTGTTCTACGCGGCCTTCGTAGTCTTCAATCAGCTCTGGCTCTGGTTTCTTAACAGGTTTTTGAGCTGACTCGGCTTCAGATTCATCCTCCTCTTGGGTAGACTCTTTTTCTTCCTCAGGTTCGTTACCATCATACTTTTTTTCTGTTACGTATGCATACTTCTTAGCTTTAGGCTCTGAGGTATAGGAACATTGCTCGTAGTTGCCACCAGTTTCTGGGTTTCTGCAAATGGTACAAGTGTTACCGTCCTTGACAACTTTTTTACAGTTTTTAGGGTCTTTCTTCAGTTTCTCAGTCTGTTTCT